AAGTTTTACTCTTCCGAAGATCTGCTAGAGATAGAGAACCAATTCATAACGTTAAAGAAGGACAACATGTCCATTGATGAATACACAAATGCCTTCACTGATAAGATGGAGTTTGCTTTGCATATTGTCCCAGACGAGCTGGCGAAAATAGATAGGTATGCAAAGGGACTACCATGGGAGTACACTATGCCAGTGCGCTAGGCACCTACCATTGAGGCAGCCATTTAGATTGCTAGGTCTATCAAAGGAATGATCAAGGGCAGAACCACCAACAAGGTTGGGGTTGGTGAGAAGAGAAAATTTAAAGGATCATTAGGATCCGACGAGAAGAGAAAATTCTCAAAGTGTGGTTTGAAAAAGTACGAAGGAGGAGGAGATGAAGCAAGGTGGTGTGATAAGTGCAAGAAGAAACACTAAGGAAAATGTGACGAGGAGGTTACATGTTTTAAGTATGGAAGGACTGGGCACTACACCAATGAATGTGCATCCAGTAAGAAAGTGTGTTATGAGTGCAACAAAAAAGGGCATATTTCGATCGATTGCCCAAAGAAGAAAGAACAAGCAAAGCCAAAGGCGTTCCACATGATCCTCGACAAGGCAGACGACAACGCGAGGAATCAGGGATGAGGATTTTATATCCAAATATGAAGTTATTATGGGATTAATGTCTAAGTCCATAACTATATATGTATGTACTTGACCCGATCCGACATGGTCCATTTGGGTTGCATGGCATCATGCACTTGGATAGACTAAATGAGTGAAATAAGACACTTATTAATATTAATATATTATAATTTCTATTATATTAATAATAAGAATAATAATATTTAATTAGTATTGATCAAGAATTAATGTAGAATTAATTATGTGATCAAAAGAAGACTAATTAAATATATGGGTTGATTGTGTAAATCATCCATAACTTATATAGTGGGCCTAAGCACCATGGATAATCAAGTTGGGTTAAACCCATAGCATGCTCCATGGATGCTCCATGGAGGTTACATAACCCATGGGTCATACAAATGAAAGGTCATGACAATTAGGGTTTACATGGTGTAACCATAATTGTAACACACTATATAAAGGTCATATTATTCACCAAAATCGGCACCAGTGTGTGAAGAAGAGGGCTAGCCGATTTCATGAAGTTGTCTTTTCTCTCAATTTTATTCCAAGTGTATTCGGTGTTGTGTGAGCCATTTGAGGTGTCACATTTGAGGCACTAGGTACTCAAGCCCCATGGAGTCAAGCTAAAACAACAAGGTATGTTATTCTACTAGATTCTTGTAGTATAGTTACTTTATAATATGCTAGTTAGGGTGAAACCTTGGAATTTTAAGTATTTGCATGTATATTAGAGAAAACATAGATCCAACGTTTATAGGGTTGCATGTACACCATAGGAGTGTTAGAATGCTCAAAACCCAACAGTAGTATCAGAGCCTAGGCTTGTTTTTTTGTTAGACTTGCAAAACTACTTAAAAATCGAAGTTAGCTGCTGTCTCGACAGTGGACTCCCCGAGTTCCCTGATGGACTCGACGAGTCCAAGGCAAAACTCAACCAACTCATCGAGTTGGTTTATGCACTCGACGAGTTGGACCCCCTGACAGCTTATCTTCGAAGTTTTTGGCTAGAAATGGACTAGGAACATTACCATAAGTTGTTTTTGAACCTATAAACCTATTTTTGATGTGGTAATATTCATGCTAATCCAATTTCAAAGATAATTGTCAATAGATTCATATTTTGTATTAGTTTAAGAGTTATGCTAAGTACTTGAAAAAGTTTGATGTGAATTATATTTGTTATTATAAGTTGCTTAGATTAATAGAAAAGTTAATTGAATATGTGTTTTCAATCCAAATTAATCTAAGAGTTGTTCATAATATGTGTTTTTGTAACTTGTCCTCAAGTTATATGAAAAGTCACATTTATGATTATTAGAACTCATAAAATTTCCATAAGTTATAAAAAGATGAAGAGTCTTCTTTTTAATGTTTTAAAGTCTTCCATAACTTGTCCTCAAGTTATGGAACTTGAAGAGTTTTTTTTAATTAAAACTTCTTTAATCATATAAGTTATGGAATTAAATAGTTTTGAATAGTTTCAAAACTTGCCCTCAAGTTTTGGAATTTAAAAAGTTTTCTTTATGAATACTTTAATTCCAAATTAAGCCCTTAGAATTTTAAAAGTTAAAATTCAACTCTTATACTCTTATAATATTATAAGTTAATACTATATATATATATATATATATATATATATATATATATATATATATGTATGTATGTATGTATGTATAAGAGCAAAAGCCCTCTTAGCATTAGTAGGCCTCATTCACGAAGTCGGTCTATAAGGGGGGGGGGGGGGGGTATAAGGTTACTGCCTATAAAATAGCAGTTTAATGGGTGCCCACTCCCACCCACCGCTTCCTTGACCGGTGGAGGGTCGTTAGCCGAAAAGATAGGACAAGGACTATAATTCTCCCTTCATTATAAGTATAATAATAAATACTAAGTAACTAAACACTTAGAAATTCCTAGTCTTAGTTACTTAGGAAAATGTGAATAAGGTGGTAATCCATGAAATTACACTTTGCACTTTGTTAAAGCCGTTAGTAGAGCGTGTGTAGTTAACCGGTACACTAATTGGACTTAACAAGGTAGGAAAACGGTAATTTAATGTTTATCACAGTATCGATGGAGCATGTGTGGTTAACCGGCACTTCGATTGAGGGGTAATACATTAAGGATACCAAGTAATTTGCATGGTTACTTCACACCTTGTTTTGTGATCCTCGGCATCCCAGTCACAAAACTTGAAGGGTACACTTGAGATTGAAACATGCCATTGAAAAGTTCAATGAATCTCGAAAGATCTAGGAGTTTCAAAACCAATTAAAACTTATAATACATTTCGTTTTCATGGTGGAAAGTGGTGAATCGTCATTCACCTACCTTCAAATATTTATAGCTTGGATTACGACATCCCTCTTCCATGTTATAAAATTGTTGTTGGGTCCTAGCCTTAATATTTCATATTGGGTGTCATATTAAGGACTTAAATCAACATACTTGAATTTCTCCAATTGTGATGTGTAGTTTAGACAACAATGATCTTCCCAAATCAAGCTTTCCTAATGAAGATGATTTCCCAGGTTTTGTCTCATGGAAATCATACTTCTCTTCCTCTACCTCCTTTAATCATTATCCCTGACCCACAAGCTCAAAGACTTGAATAGTTCAAGATCACTCAATCCCTACTCACAATAAACATAAAATTGGAAGTCCTGTGTGCACTCATGTCTTAGGACTGAAGTAACACATTGACAGGTTGAGAATGTTGGGTGTCATTGTTCTAAGGAAGTTGGCTATTGACTGGGTCTTTCAGTCACTTCTTGAGTCATATAGAAAGACTACTATGTGACAGGTCACGACATGACCCTAATGGATCTTTCTTATTTGCTTATTTCTGCTGAATCACAAATGATTTGGTGCAATAGTTAAGAAAATATGAATGGAAGGTCTATTTCTCAAATTTCCATGGACATGGACAATGGTAACATTGGAAATCCAGAAAATCTTTCTCTTCCTAATGGAAAGGGATCGGCCTTAGTCAACTCGGTTGACCGGAAGGTAAAGAGAAAGTCTAAGTTTGGAATTATCTTTTGTACCATTCTCAAAGAGTCTATATGTTTTCATTGTGAAGAAAAGGGGTATTGGAAGCGAAGCTGCCAGATTTACCTGAAAGATATGGTAAAGTCAAAGTCCATTATCTAACTCTATTAAGTATCTTTTGGAGATTCCTAATACATACTGTAATCTAATTATATCTTGATGTTTTAGAGAATCAAAGGAAACTTAAAGAAAGAGTATGTTGGATCTGATCGCGAAGATGGATTTCTATCGCATGGTTGCAGATGGGATTCTTGAGCTACTCCTTAGGAGTTATGATAGTTTGCTAGGAAACATGTAAATGTGTTGTATGTGCTATGTGCTTTTCAGTTTTATTATCCCGGTTATTTTCTCATGTTATTTTTATTCGCTATTTTGATAGCAAATGCAATACCTTTGACCATGTGACCAGTGAAAGGACTTAAATTCACATTGGTACTGATACAAGCCTCTGGCCATGTAGAACAGGTCTCTGTAAGAGAATGATTTCTATTCTATGGCATTGGCTAATGGTTAATCAGGGCATGAAAACCTGAAATCTACCAAAATATTTATCAGAAATTGTATGTCTTCTGTGCCATTTGGGCCGAAGCGTTATTGATATTTATCAAGTATTGAAATTGTTAAGTCTCTTTGACTGTATACCTTTGAATCAAGTCACTGATTATTATGGAAATCTTGTTACATGATTTCAGATATGTCGTTGTTTCTCCACTTTGCTTCTGCCATATTGAAGTATGTATATGGCATAACATTATATTGTATCTATTACTGAACTCACTAAGCATCACCGCTTACCCTCTCAATATTTTAATAACTTGCAGACAATAAGCATCCAGTATATCCATATACTATCGGAAGAATTAGAATAGTTTATATTATTACTTTTGTATTTAAGTTTTAGTATGTATCAAATTTTACAATATCTTGGGTAGTTTTGTAATAAACTAAAACTTAGTCGCTTTGTATCCAATGTTTTGTAACAAGACCATATTTGTATAATAAAATATTATTTATGAATATGCACGTAGCATGTTTTGGAGTAATGAAGTGTAGAATTCATTAAAGTATAAGGAGATCTTTCTATAACGCATTAATTTCTCCCACACACATTCTGTGTTCGGATTCATTTTTGTAATAATTAAATAAATCAACTTACACATTTTATTCAAGTTCTTTACCTTCATTGTTAGAGTCACAAATAATCCTTTGAACTTTCTCATAACGTTCATAACTAAAACACCCATTATCAATCTTGCTTAATAGATCCAAAACCCATCTATCTTTCCAAGCTTTTGAAAACCCTTTACACAACCCACTCAAAACAACCAAATCAGACCCAATAGGCTCTCTAACATCTCTTTAAAAACACCAAAAGCACCATCATAATCATTTGTTTGCAAGAATGATAAAATTAACATCTCCACAGTATCTTCAATTGGACGATAATTACTTTTCACCATGCTTTTATAAAGTTGAAAACCACGATCTGGGTTCTTTCGAGCACATTGGGCTTTAATTAAGGAAGAAAATGTTGAAGAATTTGGTACTAATTTCTTTTTATCAAGTTCTTTAACCAAATAAGCAGCTTTCTTGGTTTTTCCTTCGTTACAAAGTCCCAGCAACAATGCGTTATAAGTCAAAATATCAGGTTTGACCCCAGTTCTTATCATTTCTTCAAAAATCTGATTATCCTTTTCGATTTTATCTGATTGGGAACATGCAGTGATTAATGTGTTGTAAGTTATAGTATTAGGATCCACATTTACCCTTTTCATTTCAAGAAAAACTTTAAAAGCATCATGTAGTTTCCCTTCTTTACAGAATCCATGGATTATTGTGTTGTAAGTTATGGCATTTGGGTTTATTCCATTCTTCTCCATTGTAAGTTTCAACTTAATTGCGGTTGTTAAAAGGCCTTGGTTGATGTATGCAGTGATCAATGTATTGTAGGAGGAGACAAAAGGGTTCATTCCCATACCTTGCATTTCATCGAACACTTGGACTGCATTCTCTAGTTTCCCTAATTGAACATAAGCATTCATCACCATGTTGAGAGTGAACACATTGATTGTGATTTTGGATCTTCTCATTTGGTTGTAAAATGGTAACGCGATGTCTGCTCGATTGAAACTAAGCAGTGAACTCATATACAGGTTACATGATTCAATGGTAGGAAGAAATCCGTATTCCTTCATACGACAAAATGTCTCTGTTGCATTCCTGAACTGCTTCATCTGTGCATACATTTTGAAAAGGGCATCGAAAACACGAGGAGTGGAATCACACATTTGATAAGAGTGAAGAATAGCATCGAAGAGCTTAGAATGGAGGTTTACATCACAAGAACAAGAACCGATGATCTTCTTTAAAATGGATTCAGCTGACACAAATTTTCGATTCTTGGTGAGGATGTGGAGGATGATGGAATTTGTTTCGAGGGTGAGTAAACTAGGGTTGTGAAGCTCAATCCATTTGAAGAATTTTAGGGAAATGACGTAATCGTTTTGAGGCTTTAACAGAATGTGTTTCACTCGTAATGAATTAGATTTGGTTAATAATTTATCTATCTTAGCCCAATCAGAGTGAAGAAGATGACTGTAAGCTATGTTGATGTAATCAAGATCTTGACCTTTGTGTTCAAGGATAGTTCTATGGGGTATGGGAATAGGACTCCATTTACTTCTAAGGTGAGTAGAATTAGGGTTTTTCATGGTTGAATCAAGTATTGTTGAAATGAGATTTTAATTTATATATTTTTAATGGAAAAAAACGGAGAAATAAAATATATGAAATAATAATGATTTTGAACCTGCAAAACTTAAGACGGCCTCTTTACAAGCAATGGCTGTCATCATCATGTGGGACCCATCAAGAGAGTGGACAAAGTTAGCAGGAAAGGCTGTTCTTTGTCTTTTCACCATCACCTTTTATAACAAAAAAAATTATTTTTTTTGCATTTAGCATAATAAAGAAAAGGTTGCAGATATACCTTATCGGTTTCTCGTTGTAGTGTCAAAACTTGAAGAGATGTCTTAATCTACACATTTTAAAAAAAAACAACAAAAAAGTTGTGGTTCCTATTAGCAAAAAAGCCAAAATACAGGGACTTTACTTGACAATTTGACTTACTAAAAGAACTCCTAAGATGTCTTCCTAATTTGCGGTATGGTTGAACAACAGGAAGTCCAAGAGGAGTTGTCCATTGTACTTGATTGTTCTTCAGTGCTATAACCTGTCAAAATTTATAAAATCAATAAACGTATTAATCTTATCTTATAAAAAATATAAAATTTATACCTTTGCACAATCACCAAGCCAATTCATAATACTTCTTGCAGATTCAAACATTGCTAAAAGAAAAAACACCATTAATGGCTTGAGTTTCCTCCACCATTAAGCCACGTATGAAACCTTAAAGGACTATTTTGAAGACCTTTTGGAGGGTTCAAAACATGGTCTTTTTATAGAAAAACATCACACAAGAATCTATGAGAATTGGAGCAAAAGAAATCATGAACGAAGATACCAAAGAGAAAATAGAAAGATAATTATTCTACAATTCTAACCAATCCTTACTCACCAATTACCACATATATGAGTCTTCTTAACTATATTTTGACAGCCATCACCCATTAAAAACACACAAAACGTGGTTGGGGATTAATCACATAACATATCAAGGATTGGAAGTAAGAAGAATGAGATTGCTTGAATCCAATCACTAGCAAGTAAAACATGAAATCAAAAGACGAGTTAAAGCAAGGAACTACCGGATTGTATGAGTCGATTTCACAGCCTCGACACATCTTCAAGAATCGACACTTGCAGACCCTTGTTTCCCCCCTCTCTTCTCAGTTCGAGGTTCTAAAAGGCGTGAGGCGTGGCGTGGTGGCAAGGTCAAGCCTTAAGCTTAACGAGTCATGGTGATCCATGGCGTTTTTCAAGTCGTGATGTAAGACGGCGATTTTGTATTAATTTATAATTATATTACCGCTTATATATATATATATATATATATATATATATATATATATATATATATATATATATATATGTGTATATATATATATATATATATATATTAGATATAACTACTTTTTAGAAGTGTTATATCAACAACAAATAACAAAAAACACAATATTTGTATGTCCTATTAGAAAATGTATAAAAAGGAAAAAAAAAAAAAAAAACGTGTATCAAACGAAAAAACACGCGTCATAATGCGTCATGGCGCGCCATATCATTCATTGCCACACGTCACGCCTAACAACAACGTTATGGGGCTTTTTGTAACGGCGACATCGGGCCTCTCGCCATGGCGCGCCTTTTAGAATACTGGTTCTTTCCTTCTCCACCCTACCTCGCCTTTTTTTCGTATGCTGTTGTCGAGCGATGCAAAGGATCGATTTTGAGATTATCCCATTAATCCGTGCGTAAAGGCTAGAACAGTCGGAAAAAAAAATTTGGAGGTATCTTCACAAATTAAGTTTCTTGTAATGCCAATTTGGTCCTAGGTTTCGAACTTTTTTTTGTTGGGGGTTATGGACGAATTTTTAAGGATTAGTCCCTAGACATTGAACTTTATCCTATCTTTCCTAACCTTAGATACCTTCATAAATTAAGTTTTTTTTAATACCAATTTAGCCCCTTCATTACTTCACAAATTATATACTATTGTTTTATATTTAGGGGTGCTCAATTTGACAGTAAAAATAATGTTGACAGAAACCTATTATAGTCTTCTGACCCATAATAAGAGAATAAAAAATGACTCGTATTTTGAAATTATAAAAAATAGGAAAGTATAAACAATTAAAAATAATCTACTTATTTATTTATTTATTTATTTATTTATTAAATTGTGGTTTATGCATTTGAATTTATTTTCTAAGTTAATAAAAATGATAGTGTGTTTTTCAAAAATCATATAAATTAATAGTAGTCATTACCGTGAATATCAATTTTTATATGTACATTATATTTATACTTCAATTTCAATTTATATAACGCTTTAAGTTTTTTTTATTCTTAGACATTAGTCACTTAGATAAAAACGCTGATAACTAATAGTTATCATTGTGCATTTGTATTAAGTTGTATGTTGAAATCAGTTGAATGAAAAGTCGATAACACATTACAAAAGAAAAATTACCACTAACCAACTAAAAAGATATATAAATTATAGATAAAGAGGGATTTGCATATAACTATTTATGTTTTAAATATTGGTATTTACGTTTTAAATATTTGTATTGCACAACTTAATAAAACATATATAATTTGTTTATAAGAAAAAACTACCGTGTAAGGATCTCTACCCATCGATAGATATCATTTATTTTTTTAAAGATTAAATTGACTATTTTAATAAAATTAACAAAGATGTTCCACAAAATATTTAACTTTTTTTTTCTTTGACAAAAAAATAATTAAAAATGAAAAGTAATTAAGATGTTATATCTTTTATCTATTAATAAATTCTAATCTTATTATTTATTTATCACAATCAATCCAAACATCAACAAAGATTTCATTGTTGTTTCCAAAAAAAGATTAAAGATAAATGGAAGTCCATCTACCCAAACAAAATAAAATATGTTATTTTATATAGTTAGAAACATTTACATTCAATTATTCAATTTCCTATGAATGCATGAAAGATTACAATATTAAAGTTACTAATTCTTTATCTATCAATATCCTCAACAGCTAAGAGCTCTCAAGTCTCAAATAATCAACTAATATACATTATAAACCTCCTCACAATAACACACATAAATAAAAGAACACATATGTGTTCAAAATGGGGTGTGATCTAAATAAAACAACACATATTATACAAGTAATAACTACCAATTTCAATAAAACTAATAATTTATTGTGAAATAAAACAAAATTTTGCAAAATATTATTATCTTTAATGTATAGAGTACAAATCTATCAAGACCAAGAAAACTACAACCATGATTGCATAACCTTCACGACCCATTCCTCTTTCATATCTAAAACAGACAAAACCATAAATAGCATTGTACTTTTTGTATATGGTAGAATATAAACATAAACTTTTGAAACTAAAATAATAAAAAAATCAATTGCTACTTACACAATCTTTATTTCTGCTACTTAGAGTTAAGCTTAGCAAGCTATATAGATTGGAATGATTACTTTAAGGATTATGGCCACACAGTAGTTTATATACAAAGTTGACGTCTACATTAAGAAGTGAAACTTATGCCTCCTAAAAATTCAAGAAAGAAGCAATATGCTTTATATAATTGTATAGATGTATAGATATAGATATAGATGTATAGAAGTATATATATAGATTGCACAAATATCAAAGTTTAATTCGATATACATCAAAAACTTTTAAAGCTTTATTGAATATACATTACGAAGTATAACACATTATTTGCTCCCACACACATTCTGTATTCGGATTCATTTTTGTCATGAATAAATCAACTTACACATTTTCTTCAAGTTCTTTACCTTCATTATTAGAGTTACAAATAATGCTTTTAACTTTCTCATATCGTTCATAACTAAAACACACATTATCAACCTCGCTTAATAGATCCATAACCAATCTATCTTTCCAAGCTTTTGAAAACCCTTTACACAACCCACTCAAAACAACCAAATCAGGCCCAATAGGCCTCTCTAACATCTCTTTAAAAACACCAAAAGCACCATCATAATCATCCGTTTGTACGAATGATAAAATCAACATCTTAACAGTATCTTCGTTTGGACGACAATTACTTTTCACCATGCTTTTATAAAGTTGAAAACCACGATCTGGGTTCTTTCGAGCACATTGGGCTTTAATTAGGGAAGAAAATGTTGAAGAATTTGGTACTAATTTCTTTTTATCAAGTTCTTTAACCAAATAAGCAGCTTTCTTGGTTTTTCCTTCGTTACAAAGTCCCAGCAACAATGCGTTATAAGTCAAAATATCAGGTTTGACCCCAGTTCTTATCATTTCTTCAAAAATCTGATTACCCTTATCGATTTTGCCTGATTGGGAACATGCAGTGATTAATGTGTTGTAAGTTATAGTATTAGGATCCACATTTACCCTTTTCATTTCAAGGAAAACTTTAAAAGCATCATGTAGTTTCCCTTCTTTACAGAATCCATGGATTATTGTGTTGTAAGTTATGGCATTTGGGCTTATTCCATTCTTCTCCATTGTAAGTTTCAACTTAATTGCGGTTGTTAAAAGGCCTTGGTTGATGTATGCAGTGATCAATGTATTGTAGGAGGAGACAAAAGGGTTCATTCCCATACCTTGCATTTCATCGAACACTTGGACTGCATTCTCTAGTTTCCCTAATTGAACATAAGCATTCATCACCATGTTGAGAGTGAACACATTGATTGTGATTTTGGATCTTCTCATTTGGTTGTAAAATGGTAACGCGATGTCTGCTCGATTGAAACTAAGCAGTGAACTCATATACAGGTTACATGATTCAATGGTAGGAAGAAATCCGTATTCCTTCATACGACAAAATGTCTCTGTTGCATTCCTGAACTGCTTCATCTGTGCATACATTTTGAAAAGGGCATCGAAAACACGAGGAGTGGAATCACACATTTGATAAGAGTGAAGAATAGCATCGAAGAGCTTAGAATGGAGGTTTACATCACAAGAACAAGAACCAATGATCTTCTTCAAAATGGATTCAGCTGACACAAATTTACGATTCTTGGTGAGGATGTGGAGGATGATGGAATTTGTTTCAAGGGTGACTAAACTAGGGTTGTGAAGCTCAATCCATTTGAAGAATTTTAGGGAAATAATGTAGTCGTTTTGAAGCTTTAACAAAATGTGTTTCACTCGTAATGAATTAGATTTGGTTAATAATTTATCTAGCTTAGCCCAATCAGAGTGAAGAAGATGACTGTGAGCTATGTTGATGTAATCAAGATCTTGACCTTTGGGTTCAAGGATAGTTCTATGGGGTATTGGAATAGGACTCCATTTACTTCTAAGGAGGGTAGAATTAGGGTTTTTCATGGCTGAATCAAGCAGAGATGAAATAGGATTTTAATTTATATATTTTTAATGGAAATAAAAAACGGAGAAATAAAATTTTATGAAATAATAATGATTTGAACCTGCAAAACTTAAGCCAGCCTCTTTACAAGCAACAGTTGTCATCATCATGTGGGACCCATCAAGAGAGTGGACAAAGTTAAGAGGAAAGGTTGTTCTTTGTCTTTTCACCATCACCTTTTATAACCAAAAAAAAAAGTTATTTTTCTTGCATTTAGCATAATAAAGAAAAGGTTATTTTTCTTAATCTACACATTTCAAAAAAACAACAAAAAGGCTTTGGTTCATATTAGCAAAAAAGTCAAAATACAGGGACTTTACTTGACAATTTGACATACTAAAAGAACTCACAAGATGTCTTCCTAATTTGTGGTATGGTTGAACAACAGGAAGTCCAAGAGAAGTTGTCCATTGTACTGGATTGTTTTTCACTACTATATCCTGTCAAAATTTATAAAATCAATAAACGTATTAATCTTATCTTATAAAAATATAAAACTTATACCTTTGCACAATCACCAAGCCAATTCCTAATACTTCTTGCAGATTCAAACATTTCCCCTAAAGCAGTTAAAGTTGTCTACAAAAAAAAATTCAGAATTTGCATCAAATATTTACTCATAAATCATAATAGCATAACAAGATTATTTATTATTTGGGAATATTCTCTAAAGAAAAAATTCAGAATTTGCATCAAATTAGAACAATATTTAATATCAGAAAACAATAAATACATAAACAAGATACGAATATATATAAAAAAAAAAACCTACACTTTTCTCAAGTCCTTTTCGAACAAGAGGATCACATTCAATAACTCCATATCTTCTGCTTCCTCTCCTATATATATAAGAGTAACGATCAGCAATGCATCATCGTTACATAAAAAAGGTCAAATAGTAAAAAGTAAAAAAATCATAAATGAGGCCATACGTACGGAGTTTCCACAGTTTTAAGAGTGTCTACAAATGCAGGACTAATATCAGGAGGACAATCTTCACATTGGTCAACAGGAGGTTGTACAGATGTAGGCCTAAGAGTGTGTATTCTCGCCTGATTTTCATATCAGAAAGAAGGAACACTTGAATCCTTGGATGTTGTAAAAGGGAAGAAAAAAAAATCAAAGTTTTGCTGCAACTAACCTCATGTTCAACAGCTTCACCGATATGCAGAGCTGCCTGGACCACCCTAGCGCCACCCTGACCTCCGCCAGTCATCAACAGACCCATTAACTTGTGCATTGTAATTATCGTCATCATATCAGCAGGTAACTGGTCGAATTGTGGAGCATAAGCTCCTCGATTCCTACCTTCCCTGCATAAATCCTGTTCTGAAGCAATGGCCTTCTTCAATGGCTCAAACCAACCAAGAAACAAGGATTTCACATAAGGCAGATTGGGAGCGAGTTTCTGTTCACACATGTCGACTAAAAGTTCCTGATACTCTTTTGCTGCGTTCTCCCATGCTTCTGTCTCTATCTTTATCTGTCGTCTCCTGAGTGCAATGTACTTCCCTTGCCCAATTCCGTTGACTAACCTCGGCTGCTTTTTGTGATCGGAGCTATTAGATTTCATTTCCACCGCTTTGATTTCTTTATTCAAATGGTGTACCATTTCACGAATTTCATCGCTGTCTTGTTCTTCTGTCGAAACAATCTCCTCAGCTGCGGCGGAATTGGCATAACCCTTATAAGACCGATGTAATAAACTGAAAGAAACCCCTAAATTTGTGAAACCGGAATCACCCAAGACGTTTATTCGCCGGAAACCCCGTTCTCCATACGAAGGATTTCGATAAGGGTGAAGCTCTAGCTGTCTAGGTTTTTCGAATAGGTGGGTATCTCTAAAATTAGATTTATCGGCGAATGATTTCAGCTTCTTGACAGAAGCTCGGTTACATACGCTTCTCCACATGCTAGAGTGGAGTGATTTATTTGCAGAAAAATTAATGGGTTTCTAACTATGTACACGGTTGATACAATTTGCAGAGAGATAGATCGAACTAATGATCTGAAAGAAGTCTCTGGTTGTTTGGAAAGATGGATGCGAAGGGGTGAATCTAGGAGTGGCGATGAAAGAATCTCACAACATTTGAGGATTTGTGATTTGTGAAGGAGGCAAAGTGACGAAGAGTGGCCGCCTTAAACCCTCGCTAAACCTATTCTCGTTTTTGCCTGCTTTACGAAAGATATTTTATACCTTTTCTTTATTTTTTATTTATTTTTTATTTTTTTTTTGTATGCAGCAAATAAAGAAAGAATATGATCATTAAATGGGTGTTTGGGATGGTTTTTAAAAAAAAAATATTAGTTTTTTAGCTTTTCAAAAAGCTAATAAATTAAAAAAGTGTTTGTGTATTTTAAAATTGTTTTTTTAAAATAGTTTTGTGTTTGTGTATTTTAAAAGTGTTTTTTTAAAATAGTTTTTTGGATGGGAAAAAATAAAGCTTTCGAAAAGCTGGAAAATCCTAATTTTTTAGCTTTTTAACCATTTTACTCCTAAAAAAGCTAATTTTGGCATCGAAACACTTTTTAAAACCAGTTTTTTTTAAAAGCTATAAGCTAATAAACATTTTTCTTAAAAATCACTCGTAACATAAAAAAGCTAATCCAAACATACCCTAAATCCATACTTGATCTTCCTTGCATGTAGCAAATAAAGAAAGTAAAATGACACATTAGAATGATGCAAGAGATCAGGACTCTCACCCGAGACATGATGTTTTCGCTACTCCGGACATTACGTAATACAAGAATTTTGTGTTGTTGTTATTAAGAATCGATACAAAGGGTGTCAATTTCATCAAGCAACACTTCCCAACTCCTACGTAAGGTTCAATGGCGGATTCACTATAGATCCCGGGGTATCCCGAGATACCCCTCAAAACAAATTTAGTAGTGTTAATTTTTTTGGAAAAATTTGTTTTATGCTACGGTTTTATATCGGAAAAAAAATTAGACCATCCTAAAAAATTCAAGTTATTTCTAAATTGTCCAAAATACAAACGAGCTCAAATGGTCCAAAAATTTTAAGTCCACACCAACTAGTTTATTGAAACAAAGAGGTATTAAGTCCAATTAATTTAATGAGAAAAAAAACGGATGTAAACTCGTAATCCTTCTGTGATCGTCTACTTCTCAATTATCAACTCGTCTTCTGTTTTATCGACTCGTCGTCTTATCCTATCGTCGACTTCATCGCAGCCCTTAATCGTCTTCTCAATTGTCGTCTTCTGCCGGAGGGAGAATTTCAGCGACCTCCTTCTCGGCTCATCCATCACAATGAAACAAGTTAGTATAAAAAATATTCAATCCTATTATGTATTTAGGTTAATTAAAATTCTGATTTTCTGTCATTATGTTTAAAATATTAGAAATTACTAATTAACTTTGTTAAATTTGGGACTTGGGGTTAATACTTAATGATTATTTGTTGTTGAAACTTGAAATCAAGTTATAGTTGATATATTTTAACGGTGGGTTGCTATTTATTGAAACTTGGAATCAAGTTTATAGTTGATATATCTTAATAAATGATAATTTAATTGCAGGTTGTTATTTGCTAACTGTTGTTGAAACTTGAAATCAAGTTTATAGTCCATATATTTTGATTGTAGGTTGTTATTAAAGTTTTTTTTTTTTTCAAAAAACAGCTAGATGTTGGAGACAACAATCGTGAAGAAACTTCCAAAAAAATAAGGTTAATGAAAGTAACTAAGTTCCACAAACTAATAAACATATACCAAAACCACAAGAAACACAACCTAATGAACCTACTCAAAAACCAAAATGAAATAACGAATATGTGAACTTTAAAATGTAACTTTGTTATGGAAGTTGAACTTTATATCTGATAAAATTGCGGGTTTTTTTTCTTATTGTATATTTCACAAAAAAAACAAAAAAAAAAAAAAAAAAAAAAAAAAAAAAACAAAACAAAACAAACACCCCTTTACTTTGACCCTAGTTCCACCACTGGTAAGGTTTACGTAGCTTTCCTCGTAGAGCCAACATCACTCCAGTTCACCTATCTTTAGGTGAACTATGTGTCGAATTGGTCATCTAGAATAACGATTTAACTGACTTTCCTCGTTGAGCCAACATTAAATGACTTTCCTCATAGAGTCAGTCCTAACCGACTATCCTCGTTGAGCCAACACTACTTGGTTATCCTCATAAAGCCAACACCTATTTGGCTTTCCTCGCAGAGCCATGCCTAGTTGGCTTTCCTCGTGGAGTGTAACATCCTAAAATTTAAGATCAAAAAATTTGTTTTTAATTGAGTAATTATGAAAACATCAATAGTGTCATCTCATGTAATAAACAAATCAGTTTGTAAAACATCCAATCATATCAAAAAAGATAATATCATAGTACAACTCCCAAATATCTCATAATACGGAAAGCAATAGTGTGATGCGTTGTTATCATTCCAGCTCCTTTCCTTTTGAAGAAGTATCTGAAACCAAAACTTAAAACCGTAAGCATGAAGCTTGGTGAGTTCCCCCATCATATCACATAATATCATATTGTCAGGCATATATGGGTGTCCAACCTACCCCTTCGATCTGATCCGAACAGAAACTGCCTAGCATATCTGGGTGCTCGACCTACCCCTTCGGTCTCTTTCAACTAGTAATTATCGAGCATATATGGGTGCTCGACCTACCTCTTCGGTATCTTTCAACCGGTAACTGCCGAGCATATCTAGGTGCTCAACCTACCCCTTCAGTTTCTTTCAACTGGTTACGACGTATATTTCACCCCTACCACTACCACATAACCACATGTCACACCCCGAAAACCGAAGGCGGAATACATTTCCGGGGTCGACTACCATGTTGAGTATCAAATCCAATGTACATAGTAAGTAAAGTAAAACAAGCATTACATTACATAATAACAGTTTTACAGATGTTTCAAAAGTAAAGTTTGATCTGTTGTAATACATAGTATATATAGACAAAATGTAACGGGTCTTCATGTACACCGTCTTCAAGCAAAAGGATCTTTGGGTACCTGTTCTAACGTTGACCTGAGAACACAAGCGGTTTGAAAATCAACATAAAGTTGGTGAGTTCATATGCGGTTTTTTTGTTTGTGAAAAATGTTTTGGCTTCCTTTCTGTTTCTGAAATGTTGTGTATACCAAGAAAATCCCGTATTTTCTTAAAAGTTGGTTATTGTTTCACAATTGTAAAGTATAGTAAGTTTGTACACTGAAAACATGTTTACTCATGTGAAAATGTATAGTTGGTTATCTGACTGGTTAAACTGTTCTGTTTACTTAACGTATGTTACCAGGAAAGTCCCATACTTTCCTTATAGTATGTTACAAATTGTAAAAGATGTAATGTTATCCAGTTTGATACTCTTTCTAGTTATGTGGGTATTATCCAGGAAAGCCCCATGCTTTCCTGCATGTATGTATCTAATGTTAACGATGTTAAGGATGTAGAAATGTAATTATGAATAGGTTCCATGTTTTCCCCAGGGAAGTCCCGTACTTTCCTGAATGTTAGTCACAGTAAGTAAAAGATGTAAAAGATGTAAACGATGTATAAGTAATCCATTATTACTGTAAGTAAATCTCTGTTATCCTAATTGCGAGTGCCATAACCATACGATAGACTAAAACTTGTGGCAATAAGTAGTCCACATGTGGCAATAAGTCGTCCACATACTTATGACTTTCGTCACCCTTGAACCATTTTGGTTCGGCTGTAGCTAGCAGCCAGGTGTGGGGTAGTCAGCCCCGTATAGATCTATACACTCAAGTCACGCTCTCTAAATACCAGAGATTCTGGTTATGGGTGTAGTCCTCCACTCGCGTAATCCAGGTGGAGTGTTCTCCGAGGACGTGTCTCCAATCATACCGGAATAACAAATTTACTAGTAATAATATGAAAATCCTCCACTTGTATAAGTGTAGAGAGTGTTACCGAGGATTAAAACAGTGTACAGGTATTATATTCAAATGCTTTAATGTTATGCCTTTAACTGATAAAATGTGGAAAACCATTTGTGAAATACATGTAAAACATACTAGTTTAAAGACTTATTTCACAAATATATGTTACGTGATCTGTATGTTCTATCTGTTATCAGTTGTAGTTATCAGTTATAAAAGCATAAGAATATGAAATACATATTTGAAAACATATTTTGAGTACAAGAATTCCCTTGTACTCTGCTTGTGTTCCCCCCCTGAAAACAGTGAAAAAGGGGTAGGGGTATGAACTCACCGGATTCGGAAACTTGTCAGTTTTGAATGCTAGACGTCGGTTCAGGGTTTGATTACTTGCGAGGACCCTATGTAAAATGATATAATGTCCATATATATACAATTAGAGATACATTCACTAATTATATGGAGCATTACACTCCAATGAGGTTAAACACCTCAAAACGAGTGTTCGGAGTGACCCGGGTGACATCTATTGATTTGTAATGGCACTAGGGACTTGGGACTTGAGTTTACTCTCCATAAGTAAACATTTAATTGAGTTTAGAACATTGAAACACCCACATACATGAGTTTACGGCCGTAAACTCATGTGGTGAGGTTTTGGTGCTTTAAGGGCTTAAATGGGCTTAGGGATTGTTAGGATTAATTGTCTAAACACCTTGGAACACTTGGAATGGATTTAAAACACTTAAAACATGAGTTTACGGCCATACCCATAGAGTTTACGGCCGTAAACTCTCAATGGCTTTGAAAATTTGATTTGAGTCATTTAGGGCAATCACATGTGATTCAAACTAATTTTCTAAGCTTTGTTATGAATTTAGAACATCAATCAAGACCTTTATTGGAGTTTACGGCCTAGAGGAATGTTCTAAGGCCGTAAACTCTCTTTTACCTTAGGAAAAGATAGTTTTTGGTGCTTAAAACAATCACATGTGATTCTAGAATTTTATACAAGCCATTTGGGTGTGTTGGATGCATCTTAAACATTGTTTTATGAGTTTACGGCCAAAGAGTATGCTCCTAGGCCGTAAACTCTCATAAATCATACTTTTGTTGTGTTTCAATCCATTAAACCATTTTTAGATGCATCTAGATTTTACCACAAAGCCATAGATTGAGTTTGGAAGCATTTGGACATGTATAAAGGCCTTAAAACCCCCTTTTGAGGAGTTTACAGCCCAAGAATGTTCCTTGGCCG